CTGCTATCTTGAGCTTACAAATGCACAATGGTCTATAAGTGTTGGCAAATCTATGGCACACATGTCATTTTTAAGACCAAAGATACTAAGTTGTTTTTTCTAAACTAAAACCTCAGTATTCAGATTTAATTGCAGTGTTGGCAATTTCTGATAAATGAATAGATCTATGTTGCAGTTTGGGCAATCATCTCTGAAAGTTTCGCTATCAGTGGTCTATCAACTAAAAGAGCCCAAGGTTCCATCTAAGGGGAAATTAAAGGAAATCAGACCTCACACCTGTAGTCCCAGCTACCCACAAAGCTAAAAAGATGCTAAGCTCAAGGTCAGACTGGGAAATTCAGCCAGAACCCATTTCTAAACAAAAAACAAAGGTCTAGAGAAACAGCTTAATGATAGGATGCTTACCTAGAAGGAGTTAGGCCATGGGTTCAACCCCTAGTACCACAAAAATAAAAAGAGAGAGAAGCAGGCCTACCATACTCTGGATGGACCTTGCCCATCCACCCTGTTCTCTACTGCTTCTAAAAACAAATTCAAGCAAATGCAGCATGCTGATTTAACTGGCACTACTTACCACACCAGTGCACTCCAGAAGAGGATGTGTGTCTTCATCTAGTCTTCCCACTCATGTGTTCCCGCCTACTTTGTTTGGTCTTATTGAAAATTAGCACAAACACTCCACCTACTAATACAGAATCTAGTATTTTCTCAAAGACTGAGAGAAGAAAAACTATTCTACACCCAAAGAGCAGAGCAAAAGAGGGAAATCATTCGAGGTTGTTCTTCTCTGAGAGAATCAGGAACCACGAGACAAATCAGATCCCCACACGCATAACAGTTTTTCTTCCAGATGTTTCTTATTAAGTTGATTAAATAAATCAGGCCTTTCTTCTCTCTTGATCTTGTTTGGGTTTGCTTTCCAACTGTCTTCTTAAAACCCAGGCTCCAAACACTGCCATTATTATTTGGGAGAAATTAAACCCAAATATTTGTTTAAAGGGAATGGGGCACAGGGAAAATACCAAACATACAAAGGAAGATACATATAAAATACGTAATTCTTAGTTAATATTGTAGTCTGCCACTTGTTTCTTACCATTTGTCATTAGTAGAAACCATGAAGTTCTGTCTTTTAAAAATGTTAACAAGCTTAAGATGATACCATGTCCAAGAGATTCACATCAGCTAAAGTTTAAAGAGAACAATCATCTACTATTGTATAATATTCCTCAACACTCCCAATGGCTTGCTGTATTTATAGTCTCTGCTAACATACTCTCTCCAGAATCTTCAGTTAATACTACATGTTAAGTGGTTTCTTCATTTAGGGGCTCTCAACTGCCAAAACCTCCCAAAGCATGAGCTGTGTCCTGAATAGGTATCCATGGTGCCCTAAGTGGCGCCTGTGAATTTCAGCTTATATCTTCAAGGCCAGCTATAGACATCTGCTTATGGCTGGAAACCATGGTAATAAATATTACTTTAAAAATGATACTCAGTGAAATTGACATTTGCTCTAGTAGAGTTCACTCACAACTTTGATGTTTCAGATAAACTTGTAAAAGACTGAGTCATAAGCATACTTTCAAAGTGAACACAACAGGCGGTCACCAAAATCCTGTTAAGCACAAGTAATGTGAGTAATAAAATTGCTTGGTCTTTCTATCACTAGAAATTTATTTTAGAGAGGAGGCCAAAGCATGAGGGCAGACTTTCATCTAATCTATATAGGTAATATCAGATTACCTGGAATCGGGTTGAGAACACAAGTTATTTTTCAGAAGGGAAGAAAAGGTAACAGTTGCTGAGAATAAAGGAAAAAACAAACCCTATAAATATTATGAAAATATCTGACAGGTGAGAAGAAACTATGAGCCTAAAATTCTAATAGAGTCTTTAATTATTATCTATTAAGGACCTCAATAAGAAAAACATGGAAAAACAAGAATAAATTCAGCCTAGTTACTAAAACTCTTTGCTCACTAAATGTTACTCTATCTATATTAAGATAAATGAAGGTGAAAATCAGAAATTGGGGAAAAACACAGAATTAAGTTTGCCAGGAGTGACTTTATTTTGGCATACTACTGTTTCTTACAACTAATGGCCTAAATGTTAGAAAACTGATCAAAATTTGAAAGTTTTCTCCAGCCAAGTTGAATTAACCCCATCTAGATTTCAAAAATGAAGTTTGAGCCTTACGAGTTCATGTTTTAACCAACCAATCTAAAAACATCTTCCTTAAAAACTGAATGCCCATGCTCAAAGGGGACAAGATGACTATTTCAAGCCAAGAAAAATATTGAGATGAACTAAAAAAACTCTTTAAAAAAAAAAAAAAAAAAAACCTAGCCAAAAATCTCACAGGCATGGGGTCACAACTCAGAACCTCAATTTCCCAGTACACACACCCTATTAGTGTACACACTTATGGGAATACATGCTCTCATATTTATCTAGTTATTTTAAGACTGTGTACATCTTTACACCCATTCTCTTGAACAGCTCTAAAATAGCTACTACTAAGTGCAAATACTGTCAAAGTTTACTAGCACTATGCTACTTACACAAATGTCAAGTCTCACTAGTAGGCTGTATTGTCCAGATACACTGAATAAGAAAACAATCAAAAGTGACTTGTCCAAAGCTACACGGCTACTGACAGTTCCAGGTAGGATCCAAACCCAGGTCTGTTCGTTTCCAAAACACACGCTCTTTATACTATACTACATGGCACTTCCAAAGAATCTCAAGAATCTTGGATATAAAAGGAACCCTATCATAGTGACTGATTTTATTAAAAATCTACAATGACTCAGGTGCTTTACTTGCCTTATCTCATCTTCTTATCCTAACCAATAAAGGGAAGGAATAATATACTCCTTTTTGGATAAAGATATATCAGAGAAGTGTCTGGTCCAAAGCCACAGACTAATCCGTAAGATTTAAAGTGAGGTCTGCTTAACTCCAAGTTGACACTGTTTTGACCATGACCTCAAATCAAAATGACCTCTAAGTACTCAACAATTCAACAGTGTGCCCTTTTTACAAGAAAATGTAACAGGCCAAGTACAGTTTCAAGAAACTTACAGTACTACTAGACTCAGAATTTCATAACTAGAAAAGCCCAGATATCTGAGGGATGCACTCAGCTCCATCACTTTGCAGATGAGAAAAATGAAAATCATAGATTATATCATCCTTGAAAAGGGATTCAAAGCAATGAGGATCAGTACAAGGGCACTCCAGGTGAAGGGTAGGTATACCCTGAAGAAAAGCACAGAAGTCAAAAAGAGCATATTGTGTGCTTGAATTGCAACAATATAGATTAAAAGTGCTATATGAAAATGAAGACCATTTCTGTAAAGCTGTCTGTCCAAAGGAGTTTAAAAATACATTTTTTAAAAGTTTTTTTTAAACAATCTGAGCATTTTTACAAATATGTATATTTATTGTCATGTTTATGCTATTTAACTTTGTATTTGATATGCATCTTCATGCTGGGTCCAAATGGTCTTTCAATTTGTTTTGCTGTCATTACTGTATCTGTACTAGAGCCTTGGAACATGAATCTATACATTTTTTAATCAAAATCTTCTCATCCAAAACTTACTATTACTATGCCTTTTCTTTTAGATCTTTTTTACCCTCTGATATGGAACATACAAGGTCTATAGGCAAGATTTTGAAAATCTGCATTAAACTCGAGTTTATAAAAGTTTTTATTTTCCTCCAAAGAGTACCAACTAAACCACTATTTTGCAAATAATGTAGCGTCGGGTAGTATTAAATTATTAAATGTAGTAATACCATTCATTAATATGATATATGAAGAAATACTGGTCAAAGAGCAAAAATTGAGTTCAGTAGTCCGAGTTTCTACAAAGAAAACTTTAATAAATTCTTCTCAAGGTAACAATTTCAAAGGAAAAAAATGTTTAAACATTACCAATATTTATAAAGTTTATTTCCTAGTAAAAACCCTAAAAAGAATGTACACATTTAATTTATTGATGCTGGCTATGTAATAACAGAGGAAGAAATATTAAATTATTATAAAACTTTTAAGTCAAAAGTGCTCTATTAGCATCAGGCATCATACTTCCAAAAATGTGAAGGTCCAAATTCAGGTGCAGCAGAGTGTGTTAGTGAAGTTAATGCTGGGATATTGACACCCTAGAGAAAAATCAATGCTCAGTTTATGAATCAGTGCATGCAGAGGGCATAAAAATAGTCTTCAAAATCTTGTCCGAACTGACTATATCACTTCTACCAGCCTGAAGAATTTCAAACCTGTCTCAACCCCTATCAAGCTGGCAGGCAGTAGGCCTGCAACAAATGGGCCTAGTCCAAATGTAGGCACAGCAGACCACAGAGGAGGTGCCTGGGGAAAAAGGGCTATCAGATGAAAGTGAAGGAGAGTGAAGCTAAAAGTCACCCAGGAAGCCCAGAAAAGACTGCGGCTATGTGTGTGGGGAAGAGGGAGGGAGGGAGGGAAGGAGAGAGGGTGTGTGAGGTTGTGTGTGGGTGTGTGTGTGTGTGTGTGTTGGATATTTTTAACAAAATTTTCAGAAGGAGAGCATTAAATGTTATTATGCGAACGGTGGAGAACCTTAAAATACCAATTCACCAAGAGAATGCTGGCGTGGCAAAGCACAGTTTGTGTCTTGGGACTAAGACAAGACCCATTCCAGACAGACGAAGTGAGGGTTGGATTGCAAATAAAGTCCTGCACGAGTGAGCAGGACCAGACTGTGAGTCCGTGGCACTCCCTGGTCGCCCAAGCACAGTGCCTAGCACTTGGAACACCCACCAGAAACTATCTCTGAATAAATGTCCCAAGCTTTGAAACTCCGGGGTACTTCCCAGGGACCTAGACTTCTGACAAGGCAATGCTGGAGACTCGGAAGAAAGAGACCAAGGCGAGTAGGTTCCCAGAAACATCGGAGTGACGGGGTCCAAGTCCTAGTGCTGGCCCTGTGCCCGCCCACTACACTCACCCGGATGCCCTTCACCACGGTGATATTCTCATTCTCGTCCGCCTCGAAGGTGACCCGGCGGGTGCTGGCGGTCCCTCCCATTACTTCTGCCTCTGTCCTCGCAGAGTCCTATCACGGACCCACGAGCACTTCAGGGCCAGCGCACACACGCGCGTAGAGGACAGGACACTTTCCTTGGCCAGCAGGAGCAAGGCCACGACCCCAACAAGCAAGGAGAAGGCGCCGGTCCTAAATTCCCGCCTCCTCCGGTCACGTGCGAGAAAATAACGCCTCGGGTTGGTCAGAGATGCGAAGAACCCGCCTCTATTCGGAGAACTCATCCGGATTGGATGACTAGTACCCGGATGCTATGGCAACAAGTAGTGTCTGACAAGGTTTCCGGAGCCCCTAGGTGTACTGGGAATTGTAGTCTCAGCCGCCCTGATACTTGCTGAGATGCTAAGAGTATGCCCTTACTCCGGAGAGCTCAAGAGGAACTGGAAGGCATTGTGGGAGTTGTGGTCTTGACGGCCCGAAAAAGACTTCTAACTGGAAACTTTCAAGGAAGCTGTTAAATCCAACAAGCATGCTTTGAAAACATATTCTAGAAATTTAGGTTAGTGAATGAAGACATAATCTCTTCATGGAATTCACAGTTAAGTTATCCCCAATGAACCCATTTCTCCATTCCTATATGCAAATCCTTGTCACAAAATTTAGCATTGCATTATTTTAGTCTTAGCTATTTAAGAAAAGTTATTTGTTTATGTCCCTGAACACAGGCCACTATGTACACTATTTGTTTTATACCTTTTTGTAAAGTACAATTTTTAATGCAACAATTTTCAAATCTACATAAAAGAAACCAGAGGAGAAATGCATGTTGTATATTTAATTCCTAAATTTTCATCTCTTTCCGCCTCATTTACAAAAGTAACATTAGAGGGGGGAAAACTAAGAAATTGCTAATTATGGCATAAATTAATGGAGAAATTGAAGTTACATCAAAGTTGAGATGATCTAATTTGGAATTTTTTTAATTCAGTATTTCACCTCTATAAAACCAAAATCATTGTTAGGTTATCCATGTACATATAAATTATTTTTTGCTAAACGCTCTGTTGCATATAAGTTTAGCCATATGACCTTAGACTTACAGAAGCAAATGTATTCACTTTAGAAATTAGATGGGTAGAACTAGGGATGTAGCTCGGTAATAGCCTACATCAGGCCCAAGTTTCAAATCCCCATACCTCAAAAAGAGCAAAGAAATTCATTTGTTCCTTTTCAGTGTAAGACTTGAATAGGCTAAAGTGACTCCATGCTAATAGGCCAGACTGTGCTTCTTCATATGCTAATTGCTACCTTGGTTAACAGCCCGCCCAGGGGCAAATGGTTTGACAAAAGGTGACCCTAGAACATTTCCTGCATAAGATAAGCAATGTGTTTGCAGTCTTGTTCTGTGAATTCCCTGACTCTTTGTTTAGAAAAACCTTATAAAAAGTACCTCAGCCCCTGAGCAGTTGCCTCTCTGAGCCACCTGGCTCCGGGAGTGCCGTCTGGCCAGACTAATAAAGGTCTTTTACCATCTAGGCTGGTGTGTTCCTTCCTGGGTTTCTCGGTTCTCTGTCGTGTTCCCGGAGCCTCGCTGGGTGTTAGGGCCCAGCATCGTGGAGGCCTTTCGGCTGTTCACGCTCCGTGGAGTGGAAGTGAGACTTTAGGTCTTACATTCAGCATTAGAAGCAGTGGATCGTGATATACCAAGGCATCCTCTTAGGGATCCACAACAGTGCAGCGGCATTTTTGAGTTTTACTCATGTGCTGACCTATTGCTGTAAGAATTTTTAGAGCAAAACCTAAGCCTTTTTCCTCTCTATATCCCCAGTCAGTAATAGAGGTTGCTTAATCTCATCATCTTGTTCCTTTCCACACATATGCATATAAATTATACTGTTATTTTGCAGATTTGAGGCTACATCTACTTTATACTTCTCAAGTTGCATAATATATATAAATCTTCCTTCTACAGGAAACTAAAGACCTCAAGGATTGTCTTTTACTTCTTTGGGACCTCCCCTTCCACAAACATTCCCCAATACATAATATGTATTACAGGTTCTACATGTAACAGATGCTTAATAAATGCTTACCAATTTTTTTCTTAAAAGGGGGTTTCATGGAGAGAGTAGACAGATAATAAATAGGATCATTCATTACCTTGAATATATTTACTAGATTATTAAATATATTCTTTCAACCAAATATTAAAAATGAAGAAAGCCAAGCATGAAAAGGAAGTAGGATGCGTTCACTTTTTATGACACAAATACATGTAAATGGTATTGGGCAGACAACCTAAAAGTAGTTTGGAGTTCCTAACCCACTTCAAACAATGAGATTATGAAGAAGTGAGCCAGGTGTGGTGGTGCACACATGTAATCTCAGTATTTGAGGGCCTGTGGCAGGAAGATCACCACAAGTTCAAGACTGGTCTGGACTACGTAGTGAATTCATTGCCAACACTAACTGCATCACAACCTTAAAAGACAAAACAACTAACAAGCAAAAAGATTATGAAGAAGCTTTCTGAACTTTTTAAAAACTGCATTTTATAAATCAAAAAATACCTACCGGCACAATATTATTCTACCCATGTCATTTTCAAGGTTGATCATGTCTCTAATCCTCTCCTGAGCTACCCACAATCACTGGCTTCCCTTTCTCTCTCACTATGACTTGTTAATGGTCATCTAACCCAAAGGCAGCATGCACTCGCCAGAGACCTAGGAGAATTAAATGAAAAGCTCTGCCCAAATAAAATAATAGATAAACTTGATTCACTCAAATTTTCTTTCTCCTTTTTCTTTATCTCTGGCATCACTTTCTCAAATTAAAATTTAACATTTGTAGTGTACAAAAAGATAACAAAAATAAGACCTACAGTACTGACTCTGAACCATGAAGTGTCATGGTAAACTATACAAAGGTAGAAGAAGAAACTTAACAAGAGTAAAAGACACCAAGACTGGAAAGAAAGAAGTAAAACTTCCATTCACACATGAAAAGAGCTTATAAATAGAAAAATCCCAAAGAATCCACACAAAAAAAAACCCAGTAAAACCATGTTTTTTGAAAAGTTGAGAAAGGTTGCACCATATAAGATCAAAATTAAAAACACAATTGTATTTCTACACAGTAGCAGTTAGCAAGCCAAAAATGAAAAGAAGAAAACAATTCTATTTGTAGCAGCATCAGAACACCATAAATGTCTATTGATTGATAAATGGATAAGCACAATGCAGTATATCCAGACAATGGAATATAATTACACTATAAAAAGGAATAAAGTACTGACATATGCTACAGTATAGATGAGCTTCAACATTATTCCACAACCTAAGACATTACACAAATGAAAGAAGCCAGAAAGAAAAGACTACATATGGTTCCATTTAAATGAAATGTGCCGAACAAACAAATCTACAGAAAGCAAAAGTAGATTATGCTTGTAAACCCTGAGAGGGGATGAGATAGGAAGTGATTTCTAACTAGTACAACATTTATTTTTAGGGGAATGATTAAAGTGTTAAAAATTAGTTCAGGCTGGTGGTTGGCAACTCTATAAATACACTAAAAGTAATACACACATATATATACATATATGTACTAAAACTCACTAAATTGTACACTTAAAATGGATGAACTTTATGATATGTAAATTACATATCAATAAAACTCATAGAATGTATAGTTACTCAAACATGATAGAAATTAATTTTCATCAAATAAAATCCAAAACAGATCTTTTAAAATGAAAAAAGAAAGTCTAGGGATGTAGAGCACTTGCCTAGCAAACATGAACTCCGGTGTTCAATCAACAGCACTGCCAAAAAAAGGGGGTGGGGGGAGTAAAGAAACTGAGACTCTTTGATCTATAGATTATAAACCTATCAAAAGGGAGACTACCATAAAGGCCCTCAAAATTAGCTTAATCCTGGCTGGGGATTTAACTCAATAGTTCTGCCACCTGTCTCCCAAGCACAAGGACCCCAGTTCAATAACTGGTACAAAAAAAAAAAGATGAGCTTAGTCCCACAAATACAGACCACTGCAATGGAGATGTATGGTTTCAGAAGCTTCTAGAGTTACCTTGGCTTCTTAAAGACCTTCTACCACAGTCTTCACAGCTGGCCCTCTAAAAGCTTCTGGCCTTTCTCAGGCCCAGGTACTCTACCATTCCTAGGTTTTGGAACACAAATAGCCTCTCCAAAGAACCTCCCTCATCATGTGAGCTACTAAATGTCAATAACAAAAAATACAACATAATAGTTTCTTAAGTCTCTAAGAAACACTTCAAGTAAGATTTTAAATATCAACAGTTTCATTAGACATGGAGCTGAAAACTCAGCAATAGCTTGATTATCCACAAATCTTAGCTTGAGTGTCGAGCAGTATCATTACCTTCCCTCCAACGTCTTCATTTTGTGTAATTTCTTTTCTATCACATCAAACCTTTGAAATGAATGCTAAAGGGGGGAAGGGAGGAAGGAGAAGATCTAGGAAAAAAAATCCACCTAGGCTTCTAAATCATCCAAACAGAATTCCAGAGGTCTCAGATGAGAAGATTTGCAGTATATTCTCTGATTTTCAAATCCCAAATTTAAACAAAAAGTTGCTAAAGCAAAATCCTGGTGACCTCTCTTCAACCATTCCTTCGTATAATCACCTGACTGCCCCTGATATACTGGGCAGCAGGGTAGGAAGAAATGCATGAGAAGGAGAGGAAAAAAAAAAAGAAAAACACAAGCCAGAGTGTAGCGGCACACACCTGTAATCGTAGTGCCTTGGGAGGGTGAGGCAGGATGATCACAAATTCAAGCCCAGCTTGGGCAACTTTGCAATTTATACAGGTCCTGCCTCAAAATAAAGGGGTGGGGTATAGCTAAGTGTGAAGGGGATCATCACCAGCACAGAAGATGAAAGAGAGAAAGAGAGACGGACAGACAAACAGACACCAATGCATGAGGCTTCAAGCAGAAGATACTTGTTCCTGGTCCCGAGCCAAAAAAGTTAATCGTGTTGTTCATCACAGCCCAAGAGTGCTCTCTCTGGCTCTCCTGAGAAGCATTTCAGCTGCATAGTTCGGCACTTGGATAGCATTACCTGTGCTGAAATTGAATATAGATATAACAATCATATTTTCTGAGCTAAAAATTGAAGCAATTGCTCTCACTATTATTGTGTACTTATAGAAACAATTAAA